AGACTGAGTTATTACCTTCACGAATGCACTGTTTCAAAGCAATAGATAGATTAAAATACACGTTTCAAAATCTTACAAAATACAACCATTTGCGATTATTGCGAATATATATAGAAAATACTGATGAAAACTGACCAAAATTTAGTGAAATTAATTTGACTTATTCATTTTGCCCGTCTTGAGTTCTGCTTGTTGATTTGCGGTAATATACTGTTCGAGTGTTCGGTGTGTAATAACAGGATAGTCCCAGTGCTATATATATAATACATTCAGCGTCTTTTCCATCGTACGTAAATTTGGCCATACTGTACATTCAAGAATCTCAAATGTGCACCTAAAATCAATTCACATGTTAAACGAAACACGCTAATAAATAATTCGAGAAACGCTTTGATATTAGACTGCTTTATTAAACTTACCATGAACTAACAGCTACGGTTTTCGTAAATCTCGCCTCAAGACCGTCTTCGCCTGTTTCGTCTTCCTCATAGTCATTAGTCACGATCAGCAACTGGCTCGAACTGATAGGGCTGTACAACAGACGATTGTGGCTCAACAACGTCCTCGTTATGGCTGTTGGCTGTTCTGTATCTGTCTGTGATTCAAAGCTTTCGCTATCGGACATTTTTTGCGTTTTTAAGGAAAAATATACAAGCTACTGTCTTGCGATTAGTGATATTTTGTAGTTTTCATTCAAGTAAACACTTGGATGTGTCACACTGCATACGTCACAAGGCCGGAACTTTCGGTACCAGTCTTTTCATCAGGTAACGATTCAAAATAGCTGTATTTGTCGTACATTTTAGGTCATTTTCAATACTTTTAGAGCGCTTTTACTAACTAAAAATATTTTTACCTAGTTAAGGGAGGTCATTTCTTTCCAAATTTCGAAATTTAAAATTTTTCATTTTCCCTTGCATATACACTTTAACAAAGCACAAGTAACGTATGAAAAAAACTAACTAGTTTCTGTTCTTTCAATAAATAATGTGATTAAATTCCTTGAACAATTACTTTTGAAATGTTGTAGAAAACTATTATATATTTTAATACAGCCATGGAGTCAAAAGACAAGGATCTCTCATTTTCCTCAGACCTAGCCCCACCCATTCACCCAAAGCCAAACCCCAATACCAGACTTTTTATTAAAAACACATATTTTATACAAAATACGTTTTCAACTTCAAGTTCCAATCTATTTTACGAATTTACGATTTCAGTAGTAACTCTGTGCGAGTCAGTTTAATACCTGTGTCTGACTCTGATTAAAAGGCATACATGATTACATGAAGCCGTCCAATTCTTATATACTATTCCAAATGATGCAAAGCCAAAGGCACCGCAATTGAATTTGCGGCTACATGGCCCACCATTCTATAATCTTCTATAGACGTCTATAGAAGATATTAAACGACCTACTTTTGTTGAAAGATGACTAACATCGTGGATTGCAAGTCCAGAATAAAATAAAGCTTGGCCCTGTTTTCCAACAATGGGCAATCTCGCCAACAATGATTTAATTATATTTTTCATTGCGCTCTGCAGGAATTTTTTTTCCTCGAATTTGATCATGCAGGAATTTTTTTAAAGTTAATTTGCCTTGCACGAATTATTTTTTTGTTCCCCCCCCCATCACTTTTCTAATGGTCCGCCCCTAATACTTTTCCGTGCCCCCCCCTTTTCCGGTCAAAAATACCTCATGACCTACCCTCCTTTTTGCCAGCCTATCCCCGGTCATAATAATGAATGGTTCCCTAACATAAGCATAGTCAAAAAAATTTTCCCGACTAACATAAATATACTCAAAAAAAATTTTCAGGACTAACATAAGCATATTCAAACTTTTTCGACCAAGATAAGCAAGGTTTTCAATTTTTTCACCGCAAACAACAAAAGCTTTAAAATTGTTAAAATTGCGAACTATTTCATAAGTTTGACCTATTTCGACCATCTTTTATCCCAAACTTTTACCAAACTTTTCCGAGTTTTACTTTCAATATTAAAAGCGAATATCAGTTTCATTTTGACCAACTTTGGGCAAATATCAGTTCCATTTTGACCAACTTTGACCGTTTGAATTATTGGGGAGGTGTTACACCCACCCCCCGCACCACCCTATAGCGACGTCCCTAGATAGGCTATATAAAGTAGCTAAAACGAAAGTTCAGCGGGAAACATTCAGATCTGCTGTGACATCCAAGTCATCAGGCGTTTCGTCTTGTGCATTTGTTGGCGCATTCTCCACAACACATGCCCAATCTGGGCAGTTAGCTGGCTTCGGCTTATTGGACAGTTCTCCTTGCTCCCTTGGAATAAATACCCGTTTAGACAGGCCAGGAAGAGAGTCTTGATGTCTTTGGTCGAGCTTTTTCTTTAACCGCCTTAATTCTCGGCTTTCCCAAGCAAACCTTCTAACGTTATACCGTTTAACTTTCAAGGTTTCTTCTTCCACCTCACTCTCTTCCGATGACATAAAGTCCATTCTCAGAACATCAGCCACCTTTGCCACTCTCCTCTGGCTCCAGTCAACATATGCATGGTGGAGATGCTTCAGTCTTCGTGCCAGTTTCTAAAAAAAGAATAATGGGATAATATAGCATCATTCAACCTTTTACTCATTACAGTAAGTGACAAGACTCTCCCCTTAACAAGTAAAGTCGTCTGGCATTACAATAAGGCGCATTTGGTAAAATAATACTACTCGATGGGTACGTTAACAAGAGAAACTGGCAAACAGATTTGTTAATTGATCCATTATTTAAGCAGCTATAGACTACTTTATGGATCAACTGGTGTTAGAGAGAGAGTAAAAGAATAAGGTACTGTAGTGTACGTAGAACACATTTGCACGAATTACAACTCAATTCGTTAACAAACGAAATTAGCAGATACTACATGTACTGTAGGTTAAGTTGCAAAACTCTTCCCTTGGTCTTGACAAGTCAGTTTAGTTTAGTTTAATGAAATATGTCACATTACAAATTAATACAGGATACTTGCATGCAACACCTAAACTAACGATAGCACGAAGACGGAGTGACAGGAGAGGAAAACAGGACTAACGTTCAAATTGACAATCCTCCCCCTTAGTAAAATTGTCGGGCATGAAGGATAAAATAATAAAATATATAGGGTGTATTTGGGTAAATTAATTGCCAGACATTGGGTCAAAGAGAAATTGATAGATAAATTTGTCAAACAATAGCCGGTTCCCCTTATTGCGTATTCTGAATACAACTACCAGCATGCTTTTCGGACGTGTTATTGCATAATGAAGAAAATACCCGCAAAGTATTATGGTAGTTGTATTCAGAATGCGTGATAAGGGGAAGCGGCTATTGAGTGGCAAACCTCTCCAGAGACAAGTGAAATTTGAGTGCAAATAAATGCGTAAGTAGTGTGGGATTATACTAAATAACACACCTCTTCCTTTCTGCTCCTCCGCCTGCAATTTCGCACATGTTGTTCGTTTTGCCCACTGGCCATTCTTTTTTCCTTCGCCTTACAGTACTTATAATACCTCTTGAATGCTTCTAATGAAACAAGTAGAAAGTATATGTACATTGGCATTGGTTTCTGACTCTAATTTTATACTAAATTCCCATAAAATGCTGGATATACTTGCAGTTCAATAACGATACCACTATCTCAGGTTTGTAATGCTACCATTGGCTGCAGAATGAATAAAGCATGCAAAAATTGTTGGGACTATCGAAGGATAATCTTTGACTATCCAAATAATTTTTGTATGACATGCAATTTTTTAATGATATACAGATTTGTTCTGCTAAATTCGTGTACCTTAACTGTTTTGTGGTTTAATATTAAGTGAACATTCCCCATATCATTAAAGTGCAATGCATATACACGAATTACCTTTTTTGCCAAAAAATCGGCGGTAGCGAGAGGAACCGAACGATAATATATTCTTTAGATCGATTTTGAAAACTTCCAGGGATATTGTGAGGCAAACATCCAAAAAATAGGTTTTTAAAATCATGACTGGGAAAAAAGAATGGCCCCTATGACGTCAAATATGGAACTCATATTTACACTCGTGTTGTTTTTACAGTAAAATCATCAAATATAACAACAGGCAAAATGTCTTTGCATGCGATTGTTCGTGCGAATGGCATAATAGTGCACCGGCAAAGTACCTCGCGATTACGATGTAAGGCATGCAGGGGCTATCAAAAGACAAAAACGCTGGGTAGATTTCGTGAAGCTCAAATGCGCAAAAATATTAAATTCCAAACATTTCAAGTCAGAGAATTTTGTCAGCTAGGATGGTGATTTTGCCTAGAGATAAAACACATATAAGTCACCAGTGCGATTATTATGGGAATACAGTGATTACCATTGGTATTTTCAGCAGACGAGAGTCACGAGACCGAAGGCTCAAAGGCAGAACAGTCAGAACAATCAACGTACTGTAAGGTGAGAAATCAATTGTTTTATATTTCACTACAGGAACTTCAACATCTCATTCTCAGTTAAAACATTTTCGGATTTATAGTTTTCTATGTGCAACTGAAAACGACCAAATTACCCAAAAGAACCACAACTCGATTACTTATCTGACCGTATTGAACCAGAGGCTTTAGAGACTTTATAGACTACTTCAACCAATGATCAATCAAGTGTCCAAATATGCAAATACCAAATGCCATGTACCATTGTACGTAAATATGTAATTTGCAATTTTTCGCGTCGTCATGTTTCTATTCTTATAAAGCAAATCGGGCTTTGTGTTCCATTATGCATGCAGTTTAGTTAATTTCATTTCAAGGAAATCGCCATTCAGCATTCGCAAAACAAGTGAGAAGGCGAGTCTATTCTTAGCTTCAGACACTGTATACTAGCCATTGTTTGGATGAACATATTTTCCACAGTGAACAAATAGCTAGTTTGCAAAAGCTCAATCGGCATTCGCGGCTTTCTATAAAGTAAAATGAACTAACGTATCACAAAGCCCAAACCATTTCATAACCGTATCAACTTTGTATTGTGTATTAAAATCTGAAATATTTGTCTTCGACCCGACAACGCAGAAAATGAGGTAGCTGTGCACTACTGTATTAAGCCATTCACACGATCTGGAAAGTTGGAACAATCGCATACAAAGGCATCATGTCTGTGGTTATATTGATTATTTTCTATGAAACTATTGACGTCATAGGAGCCATTCGCACTCAGACTCTTAAACATAATTTTTGGCCTGTTTGCCTCAAAATATCTCTGGAAGTTTTCAAAATCGGTCTAAAGAATATATTATCTTTCTCGTTATTTGTGTATATGTATTTTAAATTTAAAGTTCATTAATTATACAAGCAACCATACCTTTCAGCACAACAGCTGACCAAGGACAATTTTCCTGTCCACCAAATTCATGGTACAATTCTTGTACTAGCCTGCTAAACAGTCGGGCATTTTCCTGAGATTCCGGGCTATGTGAATTTGAAAATTAAAAGCCAAATGAATATTAAATTTAACATCTTTTTACTTTTAGATTTTTATTAATTTACAGTTAATATTATATCCTCACCCAGATGCTTTCAGTATTAATAAATAATAAATAATAAAAGCATTTATTTTAACACGATAATTTTACAGCATAGCTGATGTGGTCGTGTAACTAACTAAGTATAACAAATTCCACGAAAACATGACTATAGAGTAACTGTTCACTAAAGCATAATTCTAGCACCTGGTACAGTGTACTAAAAGGATTAGTGTCACATTATGGTATTGCTGGCCTTTGTTATATTCTTACCCAAAATTACAGTAACAAATAATGATAAAAAATACTTCGTTTGGTACATTTCCAATATGAATAAGATATAATAAGCAAGGATTCTCAAAGGATGGTTTAAATATAACAACGGCTTACAAAAAACCTTTGGATCATTGTCGGCCTATAAATGGCCTCCAGCAGTAAATTTAGCCTGCAATAATAATGTGTGACACCAGTTATTTAATTAGAGAAATGTCGACTGGGTGGAATGTCTTCTGGCTGAAACAGTATAGGCACTAAATCACTCACAGAGCTTTTTTGAACAAATGACCATGCCTTTTTCATCAGGATTTTGTTTACAAATTTCAAAATAAAAAATACCGGTAATACATTTTTTCATGAAAACATGCAAAGTTGTGCCTCACTCTACCTTTCATTTAATTCAAAGCACAAACTTTCATCTGCACTTTTTATTGCCTTGAGCTTTCTTCTGACATTATTCTAGTAATTACATAAAAACAACATTAATATACTTTGTGAGCATGTGCACAGCACTGTGTTTTACACCAACCAAAACAAATAATTGTTTCAACAACCAAAAAGCACCACAGACAGAGCAAACTACACAAATCCAATTTTTCATCACACAGTGTAGGTACTATAGTTCCTTATCAATGACTTAAGTGTAAAACTGTCCTTCAATGGGTAAAATCATCTCTCATTAGAAATTGTAAGAAAATAAAGTAGGCAGGTCCAATGCACATACTGTAGCTACATACAGTGAGTAATATTGTAGGTTAAGATTGCAGTATTAGGGTATTTACTACCGGTATTTCAATTAAGGTTGTCAGCGACGACAATAGTCAAATGCTCAATATGAGTGCGAAAGAATGATGGGAATTATCAGGTGTTCTAATTACTATATCTGTAATCCCACAAGGCTATGTTGATGTTTTAAACATATTGTACATTCAACTATATTGACGATGACAACCTTATAATTGAAATAGCTGTATACTTTTGAAGTGCTGGCATACAGTAACTTGTCCCAAATCTTTCCCACATTCCTTAGGTCGTTTTAGTCATCCCTTGGACCATTAACATGAGACCGGATGAAAGTCAAACCGGAACCATTTCGTTTCGGTCATAGTATTATTTATAATAGACCTTTACACTACCGCTTTAATTCGTCCAGAATTTTGCATGAACAAAAACGCAAATATGGCAGAGCCTTATTTTTTCCGCAAGATAGGCAGGTCAAAAATGTGTGTTAAAATTTTTACCCTCGCGCATGGCGCTCGCCACCAGTGGAGAGTCCATAACAAACAAAATCCGCAGATTTCAGTGTTCTTGATTGATCGGGCATTCAGGAGACACAGTTTCAAATACTTTTTGGTGCTTTCATATTGTTATGTGTGAATTAAGATACAGTTAGTTGAACAATGTCCACTCGGTCTATTAGATGTTCTATGCGTGCCAAAGGTACTAAAAAAATTCCCGACTATGCGGTGACTTATGGTCCGACATTGTGACACAACAATAGGAATTACTTTGTTGTTGTTCGCAGGCGAACAAGATCTAGATGCTTCAGCCATGATCGTGGTCGAGGCACACGAGCCGGATGTAATGTTTTCCGAACAAACTCGAGGTACCTCTGCCAGTTGCGGGGACGGTGGTTTGAACGACTCTTCCGAAAATTTCTCTTACAGGGTCGCTGGAAATCGTTTGAAGTCGGATTTGCTTAACGATGCAGACTGATATGAAGACTCAATCAAAGGTAGTCGTCTCATCCACTCGACACGTCTGACAGCCACCCCTAGTTTGCAAATTATGTCACTTTTATCGATTAGCCCAGTTATATTGTTGTCGTAATATATCACTTTAGATAAAAAACGTTTCGTACACTTGATTGACTTGTGACCTTATTTGCGGTGTTTTTTTGGCGTTTTGCCCAAAATAAATTCACTGCTTTTTGCCCTGACCTGTGCAGAGGGACCGAATTTTTCTGATTGCGTTTTTATAGTTGAATTGATAACTGTTTTCACTGGCATGGAATGGGAAATTCTTCGTTCGGTTGGTATGTTTCGGGAGCAAGAGATTCGCCATTCGTCTGATTAGTAATAGTATTAATTTCACACCCTGATTCCACTGCTTCATTACAGTGGGTTGTTTTAAATATATATATATATATATCTCCTGATTCCACTGCTTCATTACAGTGGGTTGTTTTAAATATATATATATATATATATATATATATATATATATATATATATATATATATATATATATATATATATATATATATATATATATATATATATATAGATCACGATTCACGTAAAAATAAAACAAAGTTCACGAATTATTATAGGATGTCTTCCTTAATTGTAGAATCATTTAACTCGTCTGTACTTTATACCTCGACATGCTTTCAAACCTCCAGCTATGTCGAAAACAGGCTTCTGTATATCAAGTACTTCAAAAAACAGAAACAAACCGTATTTATTCCTTGGAAAGCTGATCACACAAAAGGTCACAAAACAGAAGATTCACGAATCACGAATATTTCTATCTGCCATTCACGGGTCACGGTTAAATCGAATCTTTCCTTCACGTGTACGTAAAAAGATTGGAAGTCATACCATCACGAATTAAGAAA